GGAATTCCCATTGTTCCATATAACTCATAGAAATTTGAAAGGTGTGAGTATGGGTCCTCATGATCAAGGCCAGCAAATTGTTGTGAGCTAACCATAGTAAGGAAGGTAGGCTTCATCTCCATGGCTCTATAATTATTTGGAGCTGCAATACTGGAGAAATGCCTAGGACCATGTTGTTGTGCGTAATCACCTAGGGTCCTTCTAGGAGGCCTAGCTGGTCCATGTCCACCATTATGAGTGCTTGTTCCTTCTTCAACCATTTCTGTTTCAAGGTGTGGTTGATTTGATGAAGTAGAAGAACTCGGAAGATCTTGCTGTTATTTTTGGATTCTCTCTAACTGTCTAAGTCTTCTTGTTCTACTGTTGTTCCTCCTTGCCGTTCTTTCAATTTCAGGATCAAAATGCAATTCTTCGGCTGGAGTTTTCACTCGCATACAATTTCAAGAAGTCTGCACAGGAAGGTGAGTCCACAAAACACAACAAGACAAATATCTCTATATTCTAAGTATTCACAAAATAATTTATTTACACAATCACAAAATCAAAAGATTAAGAATTACTAAATAGCACCAAATCCCCAACAACGGCGCCAGAAACTTGATGAAGATTTTTGCAATCTCACCACTTGGCAAGCGGACCAAGTTTTAAAGTAGTATTCAAATATCGTCCTCAGGGATTTGAGTGTTTAGTAATTCTTGCTCTAATGATTTAAAACAGAATGTTGTTATAATTGCAAATGAGTGAAGATAGGGTAAAGCAACACAATAAAATAAAAGTAGTAAAGACAATGATTAAGAAACAAGGATTGGTTCAGAGTACTTGCTAACACGTAGATCTTCTTAAAGTAAATGCGATTCTAATTTCATTATTTCAACGTTCATTAAGTAATCCAACATGATTCCTCAAGGTTGAATCCTAAAGTCATTAAGCTCAAAACATGATTCCTCTATGGTTTAAGTTTAACACTTCGCATTAAGAACAATGACTTGAACAATGTGACTAACCAAATCAAGTCTATTCCAAGAACGAGAAATGATTAGGTGCAAGATTCAGTTCGGGTTTTCAAAAACGTTTTCGAACTGGATTCAAAAACCAAATATTCATACAACGGGTGATCAAGCCGATATAAGCATTAAGAGAAGAATCAAACACAAATAATGAGATCAAAATGCATATATTTAAGAAAAAGAGGAGTTAGTAGTTACATCCAACCAATCCTAATGAGTTTAGCCACACATGGCCATTACAAGATCTAAGAAGTAAAAGAAGAGATTACAAAGTTGGAGATGAAAACAAGGGGTTGGGCTTCGTTCCCAAATGACCCAGCTGCCCAAGTAGTAGTTCCTCCTCTGGTTCTCTCTTCAAGTCCTCCTTACTCTTTTTTTCTCTTCTTAATTTCGTCATGCCCTGTTTCTTGGCTTTTCCCCTTTTATATGAGCTTTAAAACAGGGGCAAAAAGTGATTTTTCCTCCCACAACTGCAGCTGTAAATCCACAACTATAGCTGTGGAAAGTTCTTCAGAGTGAAGAAACTCCTGGCGCTACAGCTGTAGCTCCACAACCATGGCTGTGGAAACTCCTTCATGATTAAGCAACTCCCTAAGCTGTAGCTGTGAAACCACACTATGGCTGTGAGTCTCTATGACTTTCCTTGATCTCCCAAGCCTCAACGCTCAAGCTATGGACCTACAGCTTTAGCTTCAAGTCTCTGGAACCAAAAAAATGAGCATTCTAGATTTTCACAGCTATAGCTGCAGAACCACAGCTAGAGTTGCAAGTTTCTGACCTTCACAATTTCTCCCCAGATTTCCACAGCTCGAGCTCCAGATCCACAGCTATGGCTGTAAATCTCTGCCTTCCTAAAAAACTTGCAAAAAATGAGGAAATTCCTTAAGATTTTGCTACTACTTCTCTACTCTTTTAGTATAACTTGATTCTTTAAATAAAGGGGGGTAAAATAACTATATAATATCTACAATTACCAAAAAGAGTACCAAAAGTTGAGTGCAAATCATGCATAAAAGACACTCAACAGTGTAAAGTTATAGTTATCCTATGGTCCATTTGGAGGAACCGAAATGATAAGGTATGGTCTGACACTACAACTCCACCTGGGATAGCCGTCCATATGGCCATGCAAAGATATTCAGAATGGCAGTTTGCAAAAGTAAAAGACAAATCAACCTCCTAACAACAAACGCATGTTAACACTTGGACCAAACCACTCCCAGGTTTGCTAAAATGTAATGTAGATGCAGCTGTCTTCAAGGAATAAAATATTATGGGTTTCGGCCTATGCATTAGGAACACTGATGGAAGTTTTATTAAAACTAAATCCGGTTAGCAACATGGTTTCATAAACTCCCAAGAAGTTGAAGCTCTAGCCCTCTTAGAAGCTCTCACATGGCTTAGTGATATGGGCATCACAAACGCTATTATAGAAACGGACTCCAAGCAAGTAGTTGACGATGTACTAAGCTCCACCTCTATTCCTACAGAATACGGTCATGTTTTACGTAAATGTCAATTAGTACTACAATCTCACTCGAACCTAATGGTAAGGTTCATAAAGAGACAAGCAAATCAGGTTGCTCACACCTTAGCTAGGGCGTCCAGATTTCATGCTAGCTCCACTAGTTTTGATTTAATTCCACCTTGTATTGAAATTCTTATTTTTAATGAATTAAGTTGATTTGGTTTGCTTGAAAAAAAAAATTAATAAGAGAAAGAGATAAAAATGCAGATACAGGGGATATATATGATGACTAATATATAATAAGATGTTTGGGATAGAAAAATGTTCATGAATCATTACTCGAGTAAGTGCATAAGTATCCTTCTTAATTTACTTTTCGTTTTACATAAGAAAAATGAACGAGCCTCCGAATCGAGACTCCGAAAATCATTCTGAAGATTAAAATACTAATTTAAATTATAAATATTAAATTAAATAATTATTTTATAATAAATTTATTAGAAAATATTAATAATATAATGTTCGGAGGATGATTCGTATTCTGTTTTTCTGAAGATGTAGGATTGTTCTTTACATAAACGTTTTAATTTCTTTTTTCACGTCTACTTTCTTTTCTGTTTATTTTACACTTTTTTTTTATTATCAATTATGTACAACATTTTTCATCACTACAACAAAATTTGTTATTAACGATAATTATTTAATGATAATAATTTAATTGCCACCATATATAAAAATATTAATGACTAATATATAATAACCACTAAAAATTTATTTATATTATATTAAAGTTTACTATTAGCGATAATTATTTATTAGAAAAAACTTAAATCTCAGATGTATTATATATAATATAATTAAATATGATATAATTTAGTAATAACTATCACTTTACAGGTTCATTTTATAAGGTTGACTCCTAATTCACTATTCTAAATTGATATCAAATCACTCATTATTAACAAATTCAATAATGTTATGAAATACTTACAAATCACACATCGAGTAGAGATAAAAAAAAAGTATATAAGTTATGAATTTAAAAAAGGAAATTATAAGAATAAATTATTTAAAATAAAGAAGACAATTGAAAAAATAACTTTTAATAACCTTTAAAATAACTACTAGAATTGCCACTAAAAAGAATAAGTTTTTCCGACAATTTAGTAAATCTTTACCAGCATTTTATATAAATGTCGATAATAATATTAATAACACTGAATATACCAGTTTTTATTTAAATACTGATAAAAAAATAATTATCATAACCGCTAAATAGTAAATTAATTGTCACAAAAAAATTAATTTTAGTATATTGCATTATTTTTTCTTTTTTGTCCTTATCTTTCTCTTTCTTTGACCAATCTCACACCTGGCCCCTTTAACGAACGAAAAACAAACATTATGATTATTTCCATAGAGCATAAAGATGCACACAAAATTATTCTCATCTAAAACTTTAAGTCTGTTGCATTGATAATGTTGAACTTCCCAAAATCGTTACATAACATTGACTTGCAAATAGTAATCGTTAAAAATCTAATGCCCCATGTCCTTGTATGATTAAGAAGGAACAATTCAATGAGCCAAAGTTGCATTAAATGACATGTCGCTTTAATGGAATGCCTCCAATTATCCTATATCTGCCATCTGGCTTAGGCACATGCACCATGATGATTGATGAAGAGACACATTGCATGCGTGTGCTTTTTTTAATATTCCTTCAATATACTCTACAATGAACACCAATGCATGAAATTCCATATTAGAAATCAAGTTTCGGGTTACGTTGTAACTCACTGTATCATATACATGACATTGTTGAAGAGCTATAGATAACAACCGTAGAGACTTGAATGAAGATTCTTAAATATTTGATTGTAAAGGTATGATTCAAGGGTCACTCTCCCACTCTGGACCCGGAAAATCGCTCATCCAAGTGATGTTGATGAAGAAAATGAAACAGCAATAGTGGTGCAACTTGCCAGAAAGTGTTAAAGGTAATTTTGGGGTACGTGGTAGCTTTCATGAAAAGAGGTTCATTTATTATCTTTGTGACTATACCTCTGAAAGGGATAGTTTCAGATTCAGCACCAATAATCATGCATAAAAATCAAAATCGAGAGAATGGCACAAATACAAGATAGCAAGGCTTAAAAGAAAGAAATCATATTGCAATAAAATAAATTAAAAAAATATATGAATATTCCACGGTTGATCCTCATTCCTCACGGAGACACCGAGTATGGAATACACGCCTATTGTCTATACGTGAATCCAGAAGGGCGAAAGTGACAGTGAAAATGTTGCATTAAGTGTTCACGTTTCTGCACCATTAAGCAAAGGCTCCACAGTGCCTCTCGAGAAACTTCATGCACTGCTTCTTCATCTTATCCTCTTTGTCATGATCATTATAAATATCCACACATTCTACAATCATGAAACTACAACCACATCTAGGCAAGCTTTTAATCATAGCTTGATAGAGTTTAATTAATTAAGATAACACTTTACAAACTTTCATGATGTTTTCGTCTTTCTTTGGCAAGATATACAATAGTCTCTCAGTAATCTTTGCACCAACACTGATCAGCAACAAAGATCCACCGGATACAACAACAAATTTGCCTGATGATGTTTTGGAAGGACACTTTGTGGTTATTGCAAACAAGGGTGAAGAAACCAAAAGGTTTATTGTAGAGTTGCACTATTTGACTCACCCTGCATTTTTGGTACTGCTAGAGCGGGCAAAAGAAGAATATGGTTTCAGACAGAAGGGGGTTTTGCTAATTCCCTGCCACCCTCAAGAACTAGAGAAGATTCTAGAAGAACCAAGAGATGTGAGAGATGGAAGCAAATTAACAGATTCAAGTTAGTGAATGTAGTGCCAATTCCAGCGATTGAATGAATTAGAAATCAACTTGTTGAATTTATTTGCAAACTATTAGATTAAAATCGGTCATCTTGTTTAAGAGTACTTCTGACCAACATTAGTTGGTATGAGTGGCGCGGAATTTCTGTCATTTAATCAAGCGGTCAAGATTCAAATTTTAATTTCGGTGAATGTAAAAAAATTAAGTTGAAAAAAAAATCTATCTATTTAATATTTATCAAATTCTTGATGAAGATTATCTCCGTGTTTAATAGAGAATATTTCTTAATTAGTAATAATGAAAAAAAAAATAGTACTTCTAACTAGAGCAGGCTACTAATTAATAATTCAGTAGTGTAAAACTACTAGTGGCTCCATACACATAATTCACTGCGCCAATCACGTGGATCAAACTTCATTAGTTATTTTAGCTTGATGTTAGGTGTAATTAATTAACAAGTACAAGGATGTTTTTTTCCTTCTAATTCTCTCCATGGCAATATGTATATCTTATTCCAAATTTCTCTCTTTTTAATTTTTTTCCTATCAGAATTATAAGTGGCCTGGAATAACACTATTCTTAAAAAAAATCATCAGAAAAGCTTGAATTAACAAATATCCTAAAATAAACCAGTGTAGGTTCATAGCTTCATATATATAGCTAGGGTGTAATCGGTAAATTAAGCGAATGAAATTGCATGACTGAGTTTGATTCAGCACAAAAAAAAAAAACAACTTGAAGAAACAACTATAAAAGGGTCTCTCAATTTTAACTTCAACAGATCACAGGGGAAACTGAAGCAGCAACGGTGGCAGAAGACGTAAGGTAGGATGTACATATATATATTTTGCTATTCAAATTTCAAGCTATTAAGTGTGAAGAAATGAAAACAAGTTAATTAACTGAAAGAATCTGAGTACTTGGAGTGAGTTAGGAAAGAATCTGACTTTGGTCAAAGGAAATGTCTTTGCACTCCCTTTTCAAGCCTCAAGGTCTGCAAAAGATCTGAGAAGAGAAAGATATCCATGAGAAGCACTTTTGTGCATGAGAGAGTAAAAATAAATATAAAATCATGGAACGGAAAGAGAGAGAAGAGAGAGCAAAATATCAACTTTGCTCTAAAGCTGGTGTAGAAGTGTATAAATAACCTGAATTTGGTGCACTCGAGATTCTTTGTACTCAGTGCAATTGGCTAGGGTATGTTGTTCTATCAAAATCTAACGGTTGAGATTTTGATATCACCAAATCTAATCTCTTATATGCAATCAATTCTCAGTCATTTAATCTTATCCAACGACGTACATTGACCGATGGCATCAGTTGTAGGGAACTATGATACACATATGATAGGTGTAATATTTGATCTGATATGTATTTGATATAGGATCTGATCATGAGTCTTAAAATATATATGTTAAATATATAGATATGTATAAATATTCGTAAATGATAATAAATATCAAATCACAGTTTTGCAAATCGAATTAAAAATATTTTTCAGCGATATTATAAATAAAATAAAAATTATAAATTAATTATTATCATTATAAATCATTTGCTTATAATTAAATAGAAATTATAATATCAATTTTTTTTTTTGCATCAACATAAAGAGAATAATGTTCATTTTTTATTTATGAAGAGAATGTTTTTATGTTTCTATCTCTAACATGTTTTTATTTGTCTTTTATTTAGCTATAAGATGTTTATGACTTTTTTTTAGCGTGTGAATTATATATAATTAATTAATGGGATGGGAGTATACATATATCAGTATCCACTATGCAATGGATAAGTACATCCAATCAATTGGCAAACCAGGTGAAATTGACAGGGTTAGAGCTCATTTCATGCATTAATTCAAGTACATTATGCAACATTGAGGGCCCAACTAATATCCTTGCATATTTTATTTATTATTAATTATTTATTGATTTCTTAAAAATGCTGAAAATAGAAGGATTTTGTTTATGTTGAACACTCTACTCTCTTACATGGATCCGTGCATCATGCAGTAATGCACATTATTGCACTCACATGCTTGTCCCAGGCCCCTGCGGCCCTACTGCACATATGTACAATTACAATGAAAGAGTTTTGCTTCATTCACATTGCAATATTGCAGGCATGAGATGAGATAATTATAACTAAAAGATAATATTAAAAACATGCAAACCACTGAGTGAACAGTGTATATGATAAATACAAGTGCTGAGGCACATCGCATGGAAACGCTTTGTCTCCCTTTTGGAATTTTAGTTGTTATCATCATGGTTTAAGATTTTGACTCGTCAAATAATGAGAACGAATCCAATGTCTGGCAACACCTACTAACAAGTTGTTCAGCAATCAGCATAAACTTAGAAAATTAAGCGTACGCGCATTTCAGCACGTTCTCAGCATTAAAGGCCAAAGTTAATATATATGCACGTACTTTGAATTCATATGTTTGCAACTAATTCACGATCCTATCAAGAAGAAAAATTCATGTTAGGGAAGGATATTTATTTGTCGCAATCAAGTGAAGAAACAAAATGATTTATCTATTTTTTTTTTTTAATTCATTACGTTCAGTAGGTGATTTGGTTGGAGCGGGGTTAAGATCATTACTTCATGAAAATTCTCTAAATATTTAAACAGTTATTAATCAGAATTCATAGTCGAGAGCTTTTATTAAGTTGAAATATATAATTTTATGCATCAATATTGCTTACGCTGTTAAAAAGAAAATATTGTTACTGCTTCACTGGTTCTGCGGTTCTCGGGTTCAGACAGCAAGAAGATGGTGCAGTCCCTTGTCGGCCTCAAGAATTGCAGATTGTCGGAGAGAGCAGAGCAGAGTGCAGGAAAGTTTAAGCTATATTTGTTTTTGCTGATTTACTGTTAACGATAAACGCGAAGATGAAACGTGTTTGTTTCGAGTGAAATACGAAGAAAGAAAAGCGGGAAAAAGCGGGAGAACTGTACAGAGGGTTCTTCGATAAACTATGGAAAAAAGCGAAGAAAGCCACGTTGGCAAGGATTGAAAGACTTGGTTACCTTTTTGAAAATCACGTGCATAATCGATTATGCATGACACATAATCGATTATGGATCAGCATAATCGATTATGCATTATACTGGCCCATAATCGATTATGTATGCACATAATCAATTATGTGGCATATTTTCACTTCCAGGCATGCCCAAAACGGGAAAATTGGAACAGTCAGTTCCAAATTACTAAAATAAGGATAATTTAATAGCCTAAAATAGGTCGTTCCCAAACTGGAACGGGCCGTTCCAAACTAGTAAATTGACTTAAAAATCCTAGTTGAGAACGGGCCGTTCCAAATTGGCTGTTATGGGTAAAAATGCAACCCCAAATTTGTAATGTTAAAAATTTCTTAATTTTTTAATTGGTAAAAATTAACTTGTACAATTAACAAATGTATCTTCATTTCATTCTAATTTATGTCAATGATTTATCAATTTTTTTAAATTTATTAATTAACTTTAAAAAAATTTATTGTTCATTTTTTTTATATTAAGAAAATTCTATTATTTAAATATTGACATCAAAAAGTGGAAATATAAAAAAAATATAAAGTAATACATGTTTATAAAAGTAAAATAGTAACACTTTCATAACATTAATAAAATAATATTAGAAAATATAATTATCATAATATATTTTGTTATTATTATTTATTATTATGAATATTATTATTATTAATATTATTATTATGTATTATAATTAGTATCATTATTATTTATCATGATTCTTATTATTTTTCTAATATTTATTATTATTATTATTTATTATTTTTTAATAAATTATACTTATTAATATAATT